GCTTCTGACCCAGCTATGTTGGTCAGGGATCGTACCAGAAGAAATCCCAAGTACAGACACAACCTAAGTGTTTGCAAGATTGGGACCTTCAGTCTGTAAGTGTTTTGAAATGGGAAACATTCTATTACTCTTAACACTACAGAACACCATCAAGCCCAAATCCTGATTGGGGCCTTTAGGCACTACTGCAGTAAGAATAATAATAATGATGCAATTAACTTCTTGTCTTTAAAGGCCACATTTTACCCTCATAAATGTGCGCAAAACTCCCACCAAATTAGTGATACCTACATATGTATATTTAAAAATGCATATGCATATATGAGAGCAGATTTAACCTTAAATCATTTTTTAAGCCTGGAAATTACACAATTTTGCAGTATTCTCAGTCCTAACTCAATTGCACCCCATAAACTAATGTACCAGTATAGCTAAATGCACACAATTATCTGTTGCTAATTAATTGACTAGCAAATCTTTATAATGGACTAATACATTCAAATGACTTTGTAATTTCATTAAGAACAATTGGCTTCTCTTATTTAAAATGCGAATGGCTATCTCATTTCCATTACTCTCAATAAAAATACAAATATAATACTACTAAAAACAGAAGAGGGATGACAGATGTGATGTTTTAGTGTGGAACATACCCTAAGTATTAAGCAATATTTTCCTAGAAAACTAAGAACTGAGTATTTTTAGGTTAGTATAATATATGAGAAAAGACAGATCTAGTTCAAATGGACTTTCAATGACTTCAGTGTTGTCTTTAAGATGCTCAATTACTCTCACAGTTAAAAAAAAATAATGCTTCAGAAAAAAACCTTATAAGGGTGTTTTAAATTTATTCTCAAAGTATTACTTTTTCTTCCTCCTCCTGTCTTTCCCATCTAAGCCTGTGACCATAGCAACTCTTAACTGGCACTTTAAAAGGTCAAATCTAATTCTGAGTTACAAAAGGTTTGTAGGGAGGCTAGCTATTTTTCTAGCATAAAACACAGGCACCCTTTTCTCATTTGGTATTGTTGCCAATAAATTATATTCAACATACACAGTTCTAATGAAAATATTTTAACTGTCTGATTTGTTTCGTACATTTGTTTGTTTGTTTTAAATCTAAACATTCCCCTTGCTGGGCCAGATTTATTGAAGAGAAACAGGTAAAAATTTGGGGGCCAGATCTTTTGTACCCTCCCATAAATCATGAAGCCTATGGCGCTCCAGACCAGTGTAGGATCAGTATGCTTTCTAATTTTAATAAAACGAGATGTTTATCCAACAACTACAAAAATATCTTTTATTATCAGCACAACCACTGGCTACAAATCAAAACTACATGAATAATAAATAGGAAAGTCATTTAATTATTAAAGTTAAAATGAAAACATATCAAACATATCTAGCAATGAATTAGGTCATTTAGTGTGTGAGGGGAATTTAGATAAAAACTCTAGTCACATACAAAAAAAATCTGTATGGGAGACCAATGCCAATGCAGAGGAAATTGAGCCCTTCAAAGCAGAAAGGAAGGCAACTGTGCTTTTGGACCACAATCATCAGCGAACTTACTGAGCATAGAAATAAAACTTTGTACTTTCCATCTAAGAATTTCAGTGCACTTTACACTGGGAGAAGAATAGTGGGGAGAAGAAGATAGGCGAGCATGATTACTCCTGTTTTACCAGAATGGGAGCTGAGCTGGTGAAGTTAAGTGGCTTCTCCAAGGTTTTATAGTGAGTCAGAGGTAGTGGCCAAAATAGGGCTCCCTTTTTCTGATACCAATTCTAGTGCCTTATTCACACACCTCCATTGTCACTCTGACATTTTCCTGGCCACTCCACAACTCAGCTCTGTAGAGCACAGGAAGGTGAAGTCTGATATGAAGTCTCTCCATTTTAAGATTTCTACTGATGCTGGAAATCTTATCTTATACAATAGGATTTTACCTTATATAGAGGGATAATCTTGCAGTTAAGACACTGCACTAATCATCAGGAGCCCTGGTTCAGTTTCTGGTTCACCTATTGATTTTCTGTTTAGTCTCAGGCAAATCACATAACCTCTCTATTCCTCAGGACTCCAGCTGCAAAAATGAGACAGCAATATTTCACAGAGCTGTGGTGTAGCACTGAATCGCTCTGGTGAGGAGTACCATTGGACATCTAACATATAAATATGCACATGATCACTCTTTAGCTCAGCAGGAGGACAGCACTGTATGTGTATTTTTAATAAACTGCAGTCACATACTTAACCTTAAAGTGATGGGTTTTATGTTTTGATTTTATGTAAAATGTGTCCTTTCAGAATTACACAAGAAAACACCAAACAGAAAAGTACCTTGCTGAAATACTAGCTACTGTCTCCATCCAAGCCATAATCTGGCCACCAAATGTATTTTCATGATGATTTGCGTGAGGAGGCAAGACAAGTTCAATGCTCTGCACACGGGTGAGGTCAGTTGAAACAGCAACTTCCTCTTTATCACTAAAATTATCTGAAACACAGTAACAATATATTTATGGGATATTCAAGGTAGCAGCATTGCCAGCTGACATAAGGAGAACATTCCCTTTTCCCATCAGTAAAAGGATCTATCTGCTTTTTGTGCAATTAAAAAAACAAGCTACTGCTGCTTCGAGTAACGGCAACAGCCTGAAGATTCATCAGGATGAGAGCTGTTCATCACTGTAACAGCAATAAGAAGGAACAGTATAGAGAGACAAACCACGTTGGTTGCAGCTTAAAATGTTGTTGAGAGGAATTACCAATTCGCCACATGAAAGTTATATTAAGAGTACACATTTGGGGAAATCAGGCAGTTAACTATGAAGCTCACCTAGCTGAAAAAGTAGGCAGTCAATATACTTCACCAAATTTTCACTATTGTTCTTTGTTGCTTTACTTAATCTGCAAAGTACTTTGTAAGTATAGCTTACTACATACTTTTCATCTAAATATCTTTCATAGACCCTATTTGATTGGCATAGGCAGTGCTAACGATTGTTAGAATGTAAGATTATAAAATTATCATGTCATACTCATCCATAGTTTAATATATAGTGTGTGATTATTAAAGACAATCTTATAATGAATATGCACATGATAAGAGGCAGACTTAGGGTTGTGTGCACAACCTTACCTTTGCCAATTCCTCTTTCAAATGCTTAACAACATAGCTACATGTTTTAATAGAATGCACAGGTGTATTTCTCCATATGAAAATATATGAGCATAAACACATTACATACATTCTGATTAAGACTATATGGACAAACTGAACCTTGAGATAACTTCATTTATATCAGACATGAATCTGGATCTCGGTGACTTGGAGGTGAGGACTTAAAGGCAGAGCATGCCCTCTTTTAGGTCCCAGTTCATCAAGGCACTTAAGCATATGTAGAATTTTAAGCATGTGATTAAATCTACTCAAGCTAGTGCTTAAAATTATTTATGTGCTTACAGGCAATGTAGAGTCACGGTACTGACTTAACCATGGACCCTACTTGTGAGGGGCTCTGAACTAAACCACTGCCTCTGGGTCTTTCGTTATATAGTTGTTTTGAGGATGATTTGTGAGCACCAATTTAAGCTTGCACCATGTAGCCTATCCAATTCCATTGGACCTCACTTACTTGTTTGACTTCTGACCTAATAAACTGTGTTTCACAAGCATCATATAATAGTTTGGACTCTGCTAATTACCTTGCACTTTGGACCTGCTTAAAGTGTTGTATAATTTACAGTCAAAAGTCAAACGTCAGTTTCTTGCTCGGTGTTTTGTAACTATTTGACAGTTAGCAACTCATATTATTTTAATTTTTTCCCTCTATTCTACTTTCTGTATACCTCTGTAGGAATTGAACTGGTATTAGTGAAGGCAGAACACTTCTAGGAAATTTCCCTAATATAGACAGAGATGTGGAAACTAAAGTTTATCACTCCTTGATTATTCTTTGGTGGTCTTAATCAGTTTCTTAATGGACAGGTACAATTGGGATAATTTAAAGAGTCCTCTTAAACTAGACATTCCAGTTCTATATAATCTTATTAAATCATTAAGGCTATGGATTGTATTGACAATGGACTATTTTTCTCAGTAAGTAATACAATCATGACTGATGTACAGAAATATAGATATATACTGGGTGATGTGAATACTAGACATTTCTTAAATGTTTGTGAATAGTTTTGTGGTTGTAGAGAGGAATACAGTAACCCTGATTTAAGTCAAACATAAAACTGGCAAATAAAAGCAAACTTGGTTGAAAACAGAAAATGGCTATATTTCAGTTTTAATTTGGTCCTGGAACATTTTGAATTCTCCTGAGGGCTTAGATATCCAGGCTGAAAATTTTTCTTCTGTTTCTTGATAATGATCTCCTTGTTTAAACATAGTTCTCATAGCCAAAAAACAAAGTGGATCTTCTCCCTCTAGCTATGTCTTAATGGTACCCTTGGTCTTCATTTTTTCATTGAAAAATTCAGCTTTAAGTCTGAATGAATGCACAAAACCCTCAAGAAATTCTAAATATGTAAATTAAATGAAACCTAAATATAGATCACACATCAGCCCATGTGTGAGCTCTGGCCCTCTATCTTTATATCTGAAATCCCTGAAGCATTTATGAGGACAGAGATCACTGCCTTATAGATTAATCATTTGCTACCCTCTTGTGAGCACGGCATACTCCTCCTATCCAGGAGCCTTATCCCAAAACTTTTGTATCGTCATACCCCTACTCTAACTTGGCTGCTTTTTGCTCCCCTCCACCTGCCAATAATTATGAGTTGTGTCCGTTACTGTTTTGACTATCTTCAACTTTACTCTCCAGCAACAGATTCTGAAAGACATGTTCATGATCCAGTCGGATTTTTCTTCTCTCAGTAGCCAGACTGTGCTCCAGAAGATCCTGGGGACACTGAAGCTCTACTGGTTTAATCTTAACCTACACAAAGGAAAAGAAGATTTGTACTTTGAATGGCACTTAAATCCCCCTTAAAATGGCACTTTGAACACGATTCATAAAGTATATTTGCATTAGCATAGTCTAGAATTCTTTACCATAATAAAGTAAGTCATATTAATGCTGTTAAATAAAGAGTTCAAATTCAAGTGATTCTTCACTACCTAGTTTTCATTTTTAGAACAGAGTCATTTGTAAAGATCTGATGACATTTTTTCTGTTTTTGAAAACAACAAAAAATACAACCCCTTCCAAAATTCATTTTATTGAAAAGCTTCTTATAAATCAAGAAAGGAAACACACTTTTAAATCAGCTTGAAGGGTTACCATATATCATGTTGTGTACAGGGTGGAATTTCTGACATTATCTATTTGCACCCCAAGCACTATTTTCTCCCAAATGCACACCTTTAAAAGTCCCATGATGGTGCAAATTTATAGGTCACCTCCCCCTTCTAAAGGCACAGCAGCGCAAATTCCATGTATGCCTGTTACTCTGGGTTGAACCAGCCAATTTAGTGGTACAAACTGAAAATCTAGCCACTTGGCTTTTGAGTGAAGTTGTTATTTACATTGGACACAGGCAAAAATTGCTGAGGCTCCAGTAAACAAATGGTCTATGTGTCCAGACTATGTGGTCAACCCTCAGATACCTTACAACATGGCACAGGAGCTTCAGCAAGATCCAAGTCAACATCTACTGCTCTATGTGACCCATAACAGTTCAAGTGTTAAAATTTATCTGTGCTCTATTCTTTTCTTGAACACTCTTCCCAGAACCTTTTGTATAAGTCTGTCCATGGCCACACACATAATTTTTTCCAAACATAAAATTGGCTCCATCCAGCTGACTTAGGCACTGTTTAATTGTGACATTTCCTGTGGAGTCCCCTGTGTGGATACCTTTGAGAGTGTTATGTTTAAGTTGTTACATTTGCCCAGGGATTGGAGGAGGAAACAGTGGAACGGTAGGCAGGGTACTGCTTTTTATATAAACAAGCTTTATTGTTCTATAAACTTAACTCTTTAATCTTCTGAGAACAATGCATGGTACCAGAAATGGGGTAGGAAGAAATAAAGAAAAAATGGAACATCTCAAAATTCCAGAAGTTAAAGCTGTCCAGCAATGGAGCAGAAAACTGGAAGAAATTTAAGCAGAGTTTTACCATATATATGATGGCCAGTGGAGCTAGAGAGAAGGAAGATTCACTCAAGGTATCTATTTTATTAAATACAGCAGGCCCAGAAGGTTTATAATAGCCTACAACTGTCAGAAGCACAACAGAAAAGCTATGAGATGGTAATATAAAAGTTTGAGGAATCATGTATACCCAAACAAAATGAAACCTTTAAACCATATAATTTCCACATGGGACAGCAGAAAGAATGTGAGGCAATAGAGGTGTTTGTCAAAGACCTCAGACTGCTGAGCCAGACATGCAAGTTTGGAGACATAAAAGAGTCTATGATCAGAGACCAAATAGTATTAGGTATAAGGGATACAAGCCTCGGGAAAAGACTGCTAGAGGATTCTGAGATTAATTTGGAAAAGGCAGTTAGATTGTGTCAAGTGGCTGAGATGACAAATGCCAGACTGCAGAAGCTGAAGGAAAAAACAGAAGCTGAACTAGACAGGATTACAAGACTGCAAAAACCTAAGGTAACACACAAACAATACTGAAAGGAAGACCTCACTATGAAGCAGGCAAGTGGAGGCCAAAGAGAATTGCTTGAAGAAATAATGGTCAGCTGCAGATCCTGAGGAGTTACCACAAACCCATGCAATGCCTGCATTTGGTAAGTGCTGCAATGAATGCAAAAGAGTCAATCACTTTGCAAGAGTTTGCAGAAAGGAGCAGGATGCAACACACAAGAAACAGAAGGTGCATGCTCTATGCAATGGGGATAAGGAAGAACTGTCACGATTTTCCTCACTGGCACAATGTAAGAAGTTCATTCTTCTGAGGATTGGACAATCACCTTGAACACTAATGGATTAATGGTAACTTTTAATTTAGATACAGGGGTACAGGTCACTGTATTACAAGAATACATTATTAAAAAAATGAAAATGAAACCCGTGTACTATAAGAATAAGAAAACAAGACTTAGAGCATATAATGGTACTTCCAAGTTGGGTTGTTATAGTCGTTGAAGCACTCCTCCATAACAGACAACTCAGGGTCCACCTTGGGAAGGGGATAAGCACATGGAGGAGACAGGCCAATGGACTTCCATAGGGCTCAGTGCTGGCCCCAACCCTATTCAACTTATACATAAATGATCTACTAACAACCACATCCTGCAAGTTCATCTATGCTGATGACATCTGCTGCACTACTCAAGCTCCATCTTTTCACACTCTGGACCAGACCCTGAATGAACATGTGACAAAGCTGGCAGATTACATGACAGCTCATGCCGCATCCTGCCAAACCTGAATCCAGTGTATTCCATTTCCACAATGCCAGTGCCAAAAAAGAACTTAACATCTATATGGGTGGTCACAGACTAAAGCATGATCCCACATACTTGGGAGTGTCTTTAGACAGAACCCTGACTTTTCAGGAACATCTAAAGAAAACAACAGCAAAGGTCAAATCCCAAAACAACATGCTAGTCAAGCTTGCTGGATCAACATAGGGAGGTGCATCCACAACATCCTGGACTTCAGCTCTTGCCCTATCATACTCAGCGGCAGAGTATTGTACACCTGTTTGGCAAAGATCATCACATACAAATCTTGCTGACACTCAGCTGAACGCAACCATGCATATCATAACTGGAACCCTCCGCTCAAGTCCCCTCCCCTGGCTTCCCGTTCTTGCAAATATAATTCTTCCACAAAACCGTTGTCTGATGATGACCCGAAAGTTGATCAAAACTATTCGTGCTGCACCTTACCTACCACTCTATGATGACCTGTTTAATCCACCCAAGGCCCACCTTTCTTCACAATGCCCCTTATGGAGCAACCTCCCTGACAATTCTTTAGGCTAAAGGACATTTTGGCACAATAATAAATAGGTATAAGCTAGCTCTGAATAAATTTAGGATGGAAATTAGTATGTTTCCAAACATCTGAGCAATAAAGTTCTAGGACAGCTTCTCAGTAGGACTCATAAGGGCAGAAAACCTAACTAATATTAAGAAGGAAAATGATCAGTTTCTGAGGAGGATTTTATGACACAGTTGCCTGTGATAGTTGTGGATTAGACATGCCTAGTGAGCAAACTTTCCAGTTCTATTTTCCTAATTCTGTCAATAAGGCTGATTATTGTAAGGAAGGCAATTTCATTAATGGAGAATTTAGAAAAATGACAACATAGGCAGAAACAAGCAGACTGGCAAACTGGAAGAAAACAGCCCATCAGGAGTTGAAAGAAGACCATTAAAATCTTCTCATAATCTGGACTTTAGACTGCCTTTTTGCCATCAGTTGAAAAAAATGGACATCACTTTTTCACAGTTGGCAAAATTTGGGCCATTACATAGAACAGCATTGTCCTGTCTAAGTGGCAAAACTGTGCGCCACATGTGGCCTGTGAGGAATTACATTGCAGCCCCTGGGCTTCTTCCCAGCTGCTGCTTCCCTCATCTCTCCCTGGGCTCTGCCTCCCTCCTCCAGCTTTTGGTGCCTGCCCTTGCCCCAAGGAACAGAACAGTGCAGCATGATATGGCCGGGAGAGCTGAGGATGAGCCTGGGGTTGCACAGGTGCAGTGCAGTGATGAAGAGCCTGTGCAGGCATTGGATGCCACAGTGGGCAGGGTGCAGGGGTGAGGTACAGGAGTAGGGGGGCTTCTGCCTGGTTCAGTGGGGGGGGGTATAGTGCCTTGGGCATCTTGGGGGGGGGGTGCTGTTGGCATGTATTGCAGTGGTGAGGGTAGGAGGGCCTACACAGTGCAGCGAGGAGGCCACAGGTACATGGTAGAGTGGGAAGGGAGTGTGGGTGCATGGTGCAGCAGTGGCTGGGCACGGGTACAGGGTGGAGTATGGGCTAGTGTCTACACAGTATGCAGCCTGCAGGGCCGATGGCTTGCCTTAGTGCAGTCCACAGATGTGCAGTCCCCATTGGTGCAGCCCGCAGGGTGTTTGGCCCCCAGCCCCTTAGAAGTTTGACAGCCCTGACATAGAACATTCTTTCCATGCCAAGATTTTTCTGAATTAAATGAAGTACCTTTTCAGCACCAACTGGTCTAGCTACATAAGTAGCATAAGCCACACACACGAGTTTCTGAACATTAGACAAGATATCCTGTACAGAAACCCTGATGCCAACCTGAAACAAAACAAAAGTTGCAAGATTTTAATTACCAGTTAAGGCAAAAAGATTTGATCACTGTCGAGTTAACGATTGCCTTATATTCACTCTGAACGTAGAGTGCCCTGGTATCAATCATCCTGAATATCTGAAACAGCTTCAACATCCACGGTGCCTTGGAAATTACCTTTGGTATAATATCTGTAGATGGATGTTTAACATCACTTTAAAAAAATAAAACAGACATTTACATTAGGCTTTATGGACTTTTACTTCCATTTACTTATGTGCTGTTTTGGTTCCCTGCTTGAGTCTTTACAAGAAGTAGAACTTGCATCAGCAAAAATCTGTACAAGTCTATAAAACACAATGTGAGGCAAATTACTAGTGAAACACTTTATTGGTTCATTTGAAATAGACATGACATGCATCAAATCTTCGGTCTTTAGAATTTGTAGAGCACTTTGGAACACACTCTGCCTTGGATGCACTCACATCATTCCCATTAATGCTAATAGAAATTGCGCTTGAACAGAGAAAAGAGAAAAGACCCCTGGAGGTTCTATTCTGATTTCAGAATAAATGTCTGGGCAATGTACTGCCATGTCCATTACAACATAATGAACATCTTGTATCTGAGATAAGGATCTCTATATCATGAGTTTCAAAAAGGTTTAGAAATCCACCCTTCTAGCTGTGGGCCATGATCCAAAGCCTACTGAGGTCAATAAGCTGTGGCTAGGCCAGTATTGACTATCTACCTCACCCAGTGGGTGCGTCTACATGAGATGCTGAGCGGAGTTACTGAGCAGTGGCACCTGTGAACATCTTTTAAGTGATGCTACTGCACCGTAGCCTAATAATACTGTGCAGTGGCGTATTAGCACTGTCTGTGCTGTAATGCGTTACTACACAGTATTATTAGTCTACTGCGCAGTCAGCATCTCATGTAGATGTGCCCTGTATGTCGTATTATATTTGGTAAAATTATTAACTCTTCAGGGACATGTTGTTACTTTGGCATAGCTCACTCACTGGCCTGCACTATACCATAGAAATTTAAAAATCATTTGGGTGCTGTTGTTTCATAGGTGGATGCTACATATTTTTTATGAATATTCATTAAGCCCCTTCTGCAAACATAAAGGTTACAGTGTTAGTCTTCTTCCATTATTTTTCTCCCTTTACCTCTTCATACTTTTTATATATTGTTAAAAAAGGAAGAATGAATATCACCTACTTCCATGCTAGTACTGAATGCTCGGTTTACTTTTGTTTTGACATTGATGATTTGTCCAACTCTGAGGAGAAAGGAAGCATCTCATTACATTACATGATAATTACATAAATGAATCTGATCCTAAAGCACAAAGAAGTCAATGAAAATCCTTCTGGTGATTCCCAACAGACCTTGGATCTAGCCCAATAAATACTGATAATATTAGTGCTCTATCTAATAGAGAGGAATTCCATAAATGAAGCAAATTATGTGTCAACATAGGCTTTACTGAAAATACCTAGGTTCAGTAATTAAAAGTAAAAACAACAATAAAGAGATAAATGTACCTCAGTAAAGAAGCTGATGAACTAAACAAGGACTATTCAGAATACTTTATAGGCTTATAGAGTCCCTTTATGTTATAATTATAATTTGCAGTTATATACTAGTTTCAAATCTATTTAGAAACTGGGTTCCACTTTTACACCCAGAGGCATAAACCACTGGGTTTTGTTAAATCACTGAGTGAACCTGTATGCACAACACTACAATGCTGATGTTCCTATCTTATATTGCTCAACATGTGCATGGTTTGATAAGCAAAATTCATCTTCTTCCACACAGGTAAACCCAAAACAGGCCTTGTCCTGTGGTCTCACTGGAAGATTGGTGGGAAAGATTACATGCTACCAATTTTGGACAAGCTCCCTCTGTCCCCAAAAGTCTAGTCCAAAAGTTTAAATAACAACTACCAACTCTTTAATTTGCTGATGGGACCACTCTGGCCAACTGGATCAGTGTAAGTTTAGATTCTATCCATAATCCATTTCTTCTAGACTCCTCTTCCTTATACTATACACCAGGGCACAGTGAAGGGCTGGCACAAGGTATTTGGAGTGAGTTTCATTCTGACCAGGAGAGCAGAGAAAGGATGAGTGAGTCAGAGCCACAGTTGATGTAATGTGGCGTAAATCCACTGACTTCAGAGGAGCTACATGAATTTACACCAACTGAGGCTCTGTCCTACGTGTTTGTTAATTAAAGTAGGAAGAAACAGGAGATCAAGCAAATTTTTTATTATTATTATTTTTTAAAGTTAATCTAAAACTTTTCTGAAATTGATGCTCTCACTGCCAGTCTTAGCTGTGTACAAACACATACTCACATTTCGACATTTCTCCTGCCTTTGTGCGGGACATAAAATCACCCTCAAAATCTACCGAACCCTCAACATTCCAGTTCTGGTTATGAAATTCAGTGGGAGCCTTAGAAAACAGGATTGTTAAAGGAAATATATGTGCCTTTTGCAGACACACAACTCCTTTCAAGAAGCAGGTACAGGATGAGCTTTTTATGTTGTCGACTGAAGGAAAAGACCAGTAAAGTAATGCAATATTTCTAAATTGTGCAGACAAGAGATCATCTAGTCCATTTACATAAGGGGGAAGCTGCTGAGAATAGTAATGTGTTATTTATGTACAGACCTAGAAAAGAAATTAAAGTTATAGTCTTGTAAAGAAAAAAAGGCTGTAAAACACATCTTAAACGAGCTAACTTAGTTGTGTTCTCCGAGATGTCTTTGAAGACTTTTTATCTTCTGCTCAGCTCCCAACAGAGGCTGAATATTTGCTTAGTTACAGGTAATGACAAGTAGAAGGTGAAGAAAGAATAATATTCAGGAGATAAATGATGTGATTGAACAAGACACACACTGATAGCAGAATGTGACTCATAACAAAAATTCTGGCAAACTTAGGGATGCTTGTAAGAACATTTTTGGCTATTCCTTTATCAAAAACTTTGTGGTACATTAAATATATGAATGCTGGATTTCACATGTGCTCAGCATGTTGGGCAGAAGTCTTCCATCTAGGATTCCTCTAGGTCACTGACCAATAGCACAAATCTCATTTACTTTGAAAGGTGGTTTCAACATTTTCATTCACCAATGCAGAGGCACAGCTAGCTATTTCTTCACCCTGGGTAGAAGGGGGTTAGGCTGAACACAGAAAAATGAGGATGGGTGTTGGGCAGTCTTACCTGCTGCAGCATGGAACTCTAGGGGCTGGAGGCTCTGCTGTGGACAGCAGGGTGCACAGTCCCCTTGGCAGCCTCACTGCCCCTTCCCTGGGAGTGATGCCACTGCTACAGTAGCTATGGGTTTAACTCTCTCATAGCTGCTGCCAAATTATATGCAGAACAGTACTATAAAATCCTTAACTGTGTGGAGACTGTGGGAGGGTTAACACAGTACCTATTGGCAGCAAAGCAAGGGGAGCAGGAGTGAGGCTGATAAGGCAACTCCTGCCTTCAGTCTGCATGGTCAGAGGTAACAACCTCTGGAGGATCCTGTGCCAAGTGCAGCCCCCAGCTGCCATTCCTGTGCTCCTCTATCATCAATGTCCTTGTCAGCTTTAGAAATAATGAAAATTATGTCCGGCTTTGCTGGGGCAGTGCCACTTTCAGTTTCTACAAAGGTCTAAGGGACGTGATAAATGTCTTTCTGAGAGAAGACTTGCTGTATTCCTAGTGGCAATACCCATTTTGAGTAAGGGTAGAACTGCACGTGATTGAAGGACAAAATCAGAACTTCAACACAATCCTTCAAAACCCCCTCCAAATACTGCAATGGCAAACAACCTTGTAGAATAATTTGGCCTACTGTTAATAATGTAAGACTTTTATAAAAGTATATGATTATTCTGACAGGGAATCTTCAGTCTGAAAAGCTTTTACTGAAGAAACTGAAAATGAATATTTCTTCCAAAAAACTGATAGTAAATATTATGTTTAAAGATAACCCCACTGGCAAAATATGGAGGAAACTGTACTTATGTGGGAGGCAAAGATAAACCTCTGAGAAACACCACGCAGAAATGTGTATAAGTTGAAGAACTCTTCCACTTTCTACCACAGTGAACATTTCAGAGTAAGTTTGACTCATAAATGCTTCCAATTTCATTGTTCATTCTCACTCAGCTAAAATGAAATTCAAGTTGGTTGCTCTCCTGTCTAGCAAAGTAGTGGAAAGACTAGTATTTAGTAATCATCGTTTAAGATCGGGATGTCAAACATATGGGCTGTGAGCCAGATCTGGTCAGCAGGCCTTCTCACTGTGGCTTCTAGAGCACATGTGCCAAAATGGCTGACACCCAGAGGGTAACACCACCTTCTGCCCTTAGCTTCTACACAATTTCTGGTTTGCAACTGCTGCTCAGTATGCACATCAGCACATGGTTAGATCCTGAGGGGGACTGTCTAGTCAGCAAGAAGACTCATGGTCTGGAATAGACTCACCAAGTCATTTGAGTTTGATAAACCTGATTTAAGAGATTAGTTTCTGAAATAATCTCAGCCTATGCCATTTTTCAAGCAGTGGAAAGATACTTACTGTAGGCATGTCTACACGTGCAATTAATTCAAAGCAATAAACTCTGGTGCATATCACGCCAGAATTTATTGCTCCTGGGCATTGCTCCTGGGCACATTTACATGTGCGCTCAGAACTGCAGCACGTTGAGCCAGGTTGGAGCAGCCCAGCTGGCAGGGGATTCAAGGGGTCAGCCTGCCAGGCCAGAGCTGCTACCCCCAGCAAAATGTGCTGTGGAGGAGCTAGCTGGGGCTCAAGGGTGCTCCAGTGTAGCACTACCCAGCAGGCAGCTCCTGCACTGAAGCACCCTCGTGCCCCAGCCAGGCCTGTCAGCATCTACACCTGTGTTGCTGCACAATAAAGAACTCTGTCATAGGACCAGAGCCAACCCAAGGGGTGTGTGGGGCCTGGGGCATATCAGCCCATGTGGGGCCTGTGCTGGGTGGGGGGGGGAGTGTGGCGGTGAGCAGCTGGAGCACAAAGCCGGCAGCGTACAGCAGCCGCACAGAGTGCTGGCGCCCTCAGGGCCTGTACGACACTGTCCGTGGGGCCCAGGGTGGTCACCCCGATTTGCATCCTCAAGGGACGGCTCTGCATACGACAGTACTTATATTTACAAGTACTATCCTACAGTGGAGTTTATTAGCTTACTGTGGCCTAATAGGGCTGAATGTGTAGATGTGAAAACATTACTGCAGAGCTAATTAAGCAGCTCCACAGTAAATGTCTCTTGTAGATGCCCTGTGTTTATTTTTTTCACATGAGGTACTAGGCCTGTGGTCAGCAACATTTTATAAGCAGTGGGCCAAAAGCATAGGCAACACCAGTGTGGGGCGGGGGGAACATGACACGATTCTACTTTGCTGCCATAGTTGGGGCCGGGGGGGCAGCCCCATGCCTCACCGTTGGTGCAGAAATCGTGCTGTCACCATCACACCCATTGCTGCCAGGCACTCGCTATGGCCAGACTGCGGCCCCATGCCCTACACTGCTGTTGGTGCACAAACCTGGGGAGGCAAGTGACCCCCCATGACTCCCCCAACACACGGCAGAAACAATCTAGATGAGTATGAGGAGTATGTTTTGCCAATAGCTGAAACAATCTAGATGAGTATGAGGAAGGTCACTGCCTCCAACCTGAGTGCTGATGCCACAGCCATAGCCATGTGTCCCCATTATTTCTCCCTGCCAGCCGCCCTGCAGCTAGAGTGCTGCCAGAATGCCACCAAAGCCTCCCCGCTCTGTGGGCAGAATAAAATTGCTCCTTAGGCCATAACCTGCCCACAAGCCATAGGTCGACGCCCGTTACTGGTTGAGTCCTCCAATTTCTTAGTTGGGTATCTGAAGGGCATATGTGGGGTAGGCTTTACAATATGCTGTGATTATTGGTAAAAGAGGAGGATATGATATGAATTGCCTTCCCCTTTGGTCCCACTGTCAGAGTGAAAAACATGAGTTAGAGAGCTCGCATGGCAGACAGCCTCTGAATATGGGAACACCAAGAAGCTCTCTCTTCTACAGGCTGCACCTGACAATTTGAATAGAAATTAAAAAACACGGGTTTTAGAACATTTCATTTTCATTGGTATATGATGAAATATATCAGAATGAGGGGTACATGACATGAGAAAAAACAATAAAAGAACATTTTATATCAGACAGTGCTTATGCTATTCTTGTGAACTCATACAAAGTAAGAGGGAAGGTGTGGGAATTTATTCTTCATCTTGGCATACAACTAATATTCTAATATCAAGTTTAAATTGTGGAAATTTCAGTTTCTACACATACCAGAAAAAGTATTCACAGAAATGTTAATTCTTAATAGATTTGGTAACCTAATATAGGTGAATGAAACACTGGAGCAGGAAACCTGCAAGATGTCCTTATTATGTACTATAGTCAAGTTTAAAGGGGCTTGTTATGAATTACTTGATATGCTTGATCAAATCATATTAATTATACAATGCTCAGCAAATAACATGGTAAGAACTACTCCAGTTAGCATTATAATCCTGACCTATGGCAGAAAAGCAATTAAATATTTAGGGTCTGTTTCTGCTCTCAGTTACAAGTGTATAAATTCCACTGGAGTCAATGAAGGTTGAAATGTACCTGAGAGAAAAATATAGTCTCTATGTCATTAGCAGGACCCTTTGATCACAGTTTTCCAAAGAGAAGAGCTTTTCTGGAGAAAGCAAAATGGAAATGACTGCAATCGGGAAAAGGATTTTTGAGGGCATTTAGTGAAGAAGGTCAAGCGGTTCTTAAAATTTCCACATTCCATTTGGCCACATTCATGTCCTCCTCTCATCACTTTTATTGCACTCTTTTGCTGATTGTAAAACCAGACTGTATATCATAGGTATAACTGTATCTATATGGCAATTTCACTGGCAATTTTTCAGGTGTATGTACAACTGTGACAAGTACACATATACATATGTTTTTGTGTGTAAATTAATCTGAAAATTGGGCTTAATTAATTTCCTGCCTAAACATTCCATAATTTGCAGTTTGCAAAATGCTATTATTGTCAGGGTTAAGCCTTTTGTTTTAACCTGGCTACATCCAAAGATATATATTTTCATTTTTGGCCAGGTCAAGGGGGACTGATGGTGCAGTGGATCACATTTTTATAATGCAGTAGTTAATTTGCTGTGCAGGAGGAAATCTGAAGAAAAATGATGTCTCTTTTTAATAAACATTTAACTAATGAGTTAACTCTGTAACACTGGCCGCAGGACTCCAACATTACTATCAAGGGCAAAAGAGTTGGCATTTACCATGCAATCTTTTAGCCTCAAGAAATTGCAAGTCCCTGACCAGGAAACAGTTATAGCAAAAGTATACACATAGTTCTGTAGATGCATAAACATATACTTTTTACAAATAAGTCCTCAGTTATGAATTTTTGCTACTTGGATATAGATTTTTAACTCACTGAAGGAAGGAGATGGTCAGAAATACATTGATAAAGAGCTTTCCAACTACTAAAACTTCCTATAGCAATTGCTCCTCACTCAAAGCAGAATCAATAATGGTGTTTACTAATCTTTTTAACCAGGGCCAAAGATCACTGGGCTTTCAGTTTCTCACCTGATTTCTAGTTTATTGGGTCAAAAGTAAGTACACTTTATTTCAAACTTCATGGAACTGATCTTTGCCTTCCAGTGGATTGGCAGTTTTAACCCTTGCACTGTAGAGAAATGTCAAAAGTGAACCATGTGCCTGCAGGGAAATCATTGACCCCTTATCTCTGATTTTATATGCTTTGGTTAATCTGTTAAATAGAAAAGAAGAGCATTCTAAAATGATAAGGCTTGATGATTACTCTTCAGGGTTGTACCTTGCAGTCTCTTCAAACTGTATGTCATCCACTGATGCTGTCACACAGGAAACACCAGCATGTTTCTCAGCTTAAAACAGAGAAATACAAAGATGCAGAGTTATTATATCAGATATATTGCTGCAAACCTATCATTATCAGTGTAGATATTGATATAAATACATATACTAGATTAATGTAAATGTGATCTGTATATGATAAAACAGGGTGGGTCATGATTCACCTTTTGGTCACACTGATGTAAAGCCAGAACATATCCTTTGAAATTACACCAGCATAAAAAACAGAGCAAAATAAAGCTAGCATCAGTATTTAGTGTAACACATCAGAAACATCAAGGTATCAGACTAAAAGGCCATAATGATTCATTCTGTCCTTCAAAATTAAATTCAAAATTAAAATATCTAAAATGGAACGATGTTATCTAAAATGGTTCATGTAACTAACAGTTTTGAACAACATGAGGTACATAACAAGTACAAGGGGTAACAAATACATGGCAGGAGAAAATTATTATTATTGCATGATAGAAAAGTATCATTGTTGCTATGATGCTGGGGTCCAGTGTAAGCTGAAAGAGGTACAGGACGATGTTATTTATATCCTGCCCAAAGTGCTAGGCACTACTTAAAACGAGTACTGGCAACTTGTATGAGGCTGAAGTAGCAAGTCCCACGCACAAAGGGGAAGTTCATCCAAAGAAGCTGTGATTTTTTTGTCTATTTTTCAATGACCACTTGCGTATCACATCAGGAAGAGCTCCCTACCAACCCTGCGGTAACCTTCCATCTGTCCCTCCAACAAGTAAATGCATGTTTGTAGATGTTCATATATGCTCAGGGTAATGCCAAGACTGATATATTACATACCAAAGTAAACATGTGACCTTGTACTTATAGTATTCATTTTCTCTTCCTTTATTCCCACTCATTTGCCATTTGCATTTGCTTGCATTTTGTCTGATACTTAAATAGTAAAGTGTCCAAGCAAGGAATGAGTTTGTATTATTTGCCTTCCTAGTAAATTTTGGGTTGTTCAAAATAAGAAATAATAATATCCATATATAATGAATGAAACCTCCATAACATGGCAAGAGAAACAACTCCTTTGGCCTTGAGAAGTCAAAACATGTTGTTTATTGTTGTCCTCTTCATACTCATTTACTTACTTATTTACATTTCACTACAAGGCCTAGTCAAAGACAAGAAATCCACTGTGCCCGGTGCCTAACAAACGCAAAACGGAAAGACAGACCCCAGAGAGTTTTTAATGCATGGATATTGAAAGACAAATGAAGAAAAAATAGAAAATATGAGACTATTGCTCAACATGATAGTAGAAATAGCACATGAGTAGACTCAGCACCTGTACCTTTGTAGGAGGCATTATAACAAAGGAAATGTTGAAGGACATAACTAATGAGAAGACTGAGGTAGGTTTGATGACATTTATAAGCATGAGGGGCAGCACAGGAGAAAGCACAAAAAAACAGGTTTTAGCAGCTAGCAAGATATGCCAGTTACTGTGCAGGACAGGTTCTCACAGCTTTCTATGCATAGATAATAAATTAAGTAATCTGCAAATCACTTAATTTTGCCAATATCGACATCATGATTATTATACTACACTTAGTGCATCATATGGAGGTGCTATCCAGCCAAAAATTTACAAACATATCTGCTAATCTCCTCAAGGCTTAATATGGATTGTTAATATATGCAGTTGCACATGTGAATGGAGTTCAGAGATGGCAAAGATCTGAAATTCCTTAGTATTATTGAAGTTACAAAATGAAACAGGGGAAGTTAAAAGGCTTGCATAGGTATGTTATATCCCCCCACAGAGAAGCATATTTTGCATACAGTTTGTTGCTCACGAAGGCAGGGCAGGATGGCACCTCTGACTAACTGGTTCGGTGCCACTCTGTCCTACCTTTTGCCTGACTTCGGACTAACGTAGCTAGCCACCTCTCTCTGTTGATCATGAGGAACCCTGTACAAAATAGAAATTGGCACGTTTACACTTGTGGTGAAAAAAAAGGACCTTCTTTTGTTTATTGTTTAGTTTGCCTCCTACAGATTTCAGTTTGTTTTTTCCTTTCTCCTGCCTTAGGTCAGATTGCTTGGTCTTTCTTTCTTTTCACTCTGGGCAATGCTCTTTTCTCTTTGGCTTTCCTGACAGTTCCTGGCAAATGGTTTTGCTATTTTGACTGTGCTCCATTAGTTCCTGGTTCCTGGCAAATGGTTTTTGCCTTCTTTCTTCTCAGTTTTTCCTGCCTACTTTCTTCATCCCTCTTTTTTCTGGTTTCTCTCTTTTCTTCATCTTTGCCATGATCCTTCCCACATGGCAATTCTCCTTCTTCTTCCTTACTCTCCCACCTGTAAGTCCTATCCCAAGCTAATTCCCTTTTCTTTGACTATGATCTTTCCTGTCCCTTGCCACAGAACATAATTTCATCCAGAGGAGAAACTGAATCTCCAGTGATTACTTGTGATGATCCACGAGGTGACCTGCCTGAAGGAGCCTGCTCAGCAGTCTTAAGAGAGGGTCAGTCAATTCATATGGGTCACCTGGAGTGCAGCACCACTGCAGGCACAAGGGGCAGAGAACAGCCTATTAACATGCGATAGCGAGAGGGTCTCCAGTTATGGGAAGGAGCTGCCTCCAAATGAGAAAATCAGCTGCTCTGAAACACATCCACCAAGTTTCAGCAAATTATACACTTTAATCACTTTATACCATGCCATTAAAGGGGGGGAAATGCGGGCAAACATAATGGACCAGATGTTAGTCCACTATGGATGGTCACAGAGCATCACCGAGACATAGCCGCTCAGAGGCAACGCACACAACTAGATGAACTAGTTTAGGCTCCAACACCCCAGCACCCATGGTCCCAGATAAGTGGGTGGGAACAACAGGGCTGCTCATCACTCCCCAAATGGCTCCCGCCTTCCCATGGGAGTCCAGGGCATTTTGCTTGGGCCAGTGTACTAGGGCTGCATCCCCGGGCGGGGGGAGAGGGGCATTCCATGCATCCTGCACCACCAAGGCCCTGGCGTCTGCTGCAGGGTCATCGCCAGCGGCTGGCAGAGTCTGCAGCGCCAAGCCAAGGCCCTTGGCCCTGCAGTCAGAGGCCAGGACTCCTGGGTTCCTTCTGCTCCTGCTGGACCCAGGCTCCTTTCCTCCCCGCGCCTCAGTTTACCCCCTCCGCGCAATGGGTGCATTCCGTCGCCCTCCACGCCAACCCTCCCCGGCGCGACCCTACCTGCCAGGCAGGCGGTGGTGTCGATCCACTGCAGGAGCTCGCTCCATGGCCCGGCCGCCGCGGCGCCACCCGGCTGCGAGCTCTGACTGACTGACTGACTGCAAGGAGCGCCGCGCCCGGGCGCTGGGACCCGGGGCCTCGCGCCGCCGCCGCCACCCGCGCCGCTTCCAAGGGAGGCTGTAACAAGGGCTCCCGGTTTGGGGAACCTGAGGCCCGGGCAGGTTAAGGCTGAGCAGCCCGCTGCTGGGCGGGCGGCTGACACTCCTGGTGCCCTTGGTGGACAGTGGCATGAGGGTTGCCACCGAGGTGCTTCTCATCGGGCGCCGTGTCTTTCCAAAGTCTTGTTCATGGAAGCGGGCAGCGCGCCATGGCACCGCTCTGGCCACCGCCCCTCAGATCTCCTGGGGAGCTGCTTCAGTCCAGGGGCCCCACCAATCCTGCTGCAGCCTTCTTTGACATCTGTAGGGAGAGCTTGTCGCCAGGAACTGGCAGGACTTCTTGTGGAGGTCCCTTCTCAGTGACTGACAGGAAATGCCCGACTTGGAGATCATTGCACTTCTCCTAAACTTGGAAAAGAAATACTGTGAATTGCCTTTGCGCAGCTCAAAAAAGTTCAAAGTGCAGCTGCACATTGCCAGCCAGTCTGCATTTGGCCTTTAGCTACTGGACTGTATGCCTAGTCTCAGGCATACAGTGTACCAAAGGACACATGTGCCTGATGGAGGGGCAGAGTGGGTGGGAAAGACTGGTGCAGTTGGTGGAGCAAAGGCAGCGCTCTAGGATACAGAGAGATAACAGGGTAGAGGAGCAGGGCAGGTTGGAACCGTCTCAGGAGGACACAGCCTGCACGCAATGCAGCTCTTACAAAACAATCCAGCAACCCATAGGAAATGGCCAAAATGGAATTTAATTCTCAGTGCTCGGTCATTTTATTCTTAATTTAAAAAAGCTAGAATGCTAGATACAATGCTGCTTCATTATTTCTTAACCTTAAACTTCCATGTTTATAAAAACATATGTAACAGCAGGGAATTTCTGTGTTTTAGGCTAATGAGCCAACCTGGCTCACCAAGGTCCTGAGTGTAGAAGAAAGTCTCTTTCCACGTATTACAAGCTTTATACTATGGCATGATCCTTTTTTCCTTGTCAGACGACTCTCACAGCAAGTAACAGGACAACTATAGCATCACATTCTGCACACTAGCTTTACCAATTGGTATGCTGGACTGCTCTCTGAACTTATTTCTATTCTGTGTTGCTTCAGAATGAAGTTTGTTCTGAATTCTCCTTTCCTTTTGGTTCAATGGTTAGGATTATGGGAAAGAAATGAAAGTCTTGTGGAAGACTAATGGAAGACTGGGAGACATGGCTTTAATTTTACTCCTGATGAATGCACCTAAATTGAATGCAGTTTCTATTCTTTTTTTCCCCTTTCTTGTCTACTTCATTTTAGTCCAGATGCAACAGTGCATCTAGTTGTTCCTGCCATGGATCTGGAATCTCAAAAAGGAAGTTTCATCAGAATGAACAGAACTTCCTTTAAAGAATGCCTTGTCTTTGCTTGGCTTCGTCTGTAATCTGTAAATTACTTTCCAGATTTGCTTTGTCACATTTATTATGTAGGCTTTCAAGATTATAACTGTAGCTGTTGTTGCTTTTCTCACACTGATAGCATTCACTTAAAATTAATTTAGACCTACTGATCAAAGATTTGGCCCATAATATATCTGTTGTCTGGTATGAGATTAGAAGCTGCAAAGATGCTGGAATCACAGACAAACATAGTCTAAATAATCTACTCACGTCTAAACCTTTCCAAATTCCACCAAGTAATACATGCTCAGAGTGAATGATGGGTAAAGCTCTCCTAGGCTGTGTGGAAGAGTTTAAAAAAGCAGAAACTGTAACTTCTCTAGTAACTACTGTCAACAGGAAAGGCAATGACTTTAAGAACACATCTCAAAGCTCCATGTATCTTTTGGTTCCTAGGAAGGAAAGTCATTGGACGGAAGACATGTTCTGCAGGAGCATGGGATGCTTTCCAAGAACAGATAGATGTAGGCAACACAGGACTCCTACCAGCAGTGTGCATAGCCACAACTTTGGATATATTGGGGAGCTTTGGTAAATGGTTACTAACCTAACTAGAATGAAAACCACATATATCAGGAGTATGAACAAATGTTTCATTTGTCCCAGGACCTGTCGTCCCTGTGTTTGTCCCAAGACAGAAAAGCTGCAGGATTGGTGCATGCACACATTGCCCTTCCAATTGGGGTTTAATGAGCAGCTGAATATATTGTCACTTTTCTGCCATTGATCCAAGGATGCAGTCCCAGCATGTCCATTCAGACACACTTTGTGATGTCCTGGGACAAATGGTTAGCAGATCTTATCCTGTGAACCCCCTGGGATGAATCCAATGTCTGTTTGTAGTCTGAGAAATAAGAGTTTAAAAGCTCAACTGTAATGCACTTTCCCATCAGAAAGTGCAGATAAATAACACTATCCAGCCAAATCACAAAGCTACAATGAGAAGTAATTCATTAGGTCACAATACTTGGCAACTTACATTTGCTTAACAAATCTAACCCACAAAGAACCCTATTGAAGGCAACGGTTCTGTTCACAGGCTTTTAAATACAGCCTCATTCTTTATAAGATTAGGACCTTAATGCATACCCAGTATTTTGAAAATGTAAAATTACAAAATGTTGTGTAAATGTTACCTATTATTTTTAAATAGGTCATTGCAATATATGGCTTCTTGAACTATCAGTGTCATTTGCTGTGCTCCACACATGAGAGACTGTAGTTTATTTATTAGTAGAAGCAGCATTAGAATTATGGATCGGACACAGGCTGCATCCAGATGAGTATGGATATGTGGTATGTGGCACCGCATCTGTGGGAGATCCTGGGGCCAAAAAAACCCATGCTGAAAACAGCAGGGCGGCACACATGGTGGCAGTGCATGCTGCCCCAAACCAGAGCCTGGCTAGCTGGAGCCATGCTCCAGCTGCCAGCCAGGCTTCCGGCTGCAGCTGCAGCCCCAGGTGGCCCCCAGCATCCCAGGTAAGGCTGCTGGCCCCAGCCTTCCCTGGGGACCACAGCTGCTGGCCCCAGTCTCCACTACCTCACAAGATATGTTGCAGTTGTCTGGACGTGCTGGTAGGTCGCGTCCCCATGTGCAGAAACATGCGTTTCCAGGGCCGCAAAAAGCAGCAGCACACATTTGTGCCACAGCTTTGTGCCCCAGGCCATGCCCCTGCACATGCATTCTGGCCAGGGCTGGATTAACACATAGGCAAACTAGGCATATGCGTGTAAGTGAAGAAGGGGCCCAGTTATGCTTATTTTACATATCATAATTAATGAGTGAAAAAGTAATATAAATATACAATATTAAGTAGGGGCCAAGAGTTTGTTTGCCCAGAGCCCACTAAAGGGTTAATCCAGGTGTGACTCTGGCGTGCACCAAATTTTCCTGGGTGGAATAAGGGAGGCTGGGCAACAGCTTTACCTGGGGTCCTGGGGCTCTCACAGGGCAGTAGCGGCACTGATCTGGCCAAATGGAGCTTGGCTGTCAGCCACAGTGTGGCTCTGGATGGCCAGGCTTCATTTCTGGCAGTGCATGCTGCTGCCATGTGCACTGAACTGTTTTTTGTTGTAGGTTTTGTTTTTTGATACTGGGACATCCTGGTATCAAATTTTGGCACCACTTTGCAGCATGGCACACAGTTGCACGTTCACTGCATGCGATTTGCAGCGCCACTAACAGGTTTGAGGTGCTGCAAACTGCACCTGCGCACTCATGTGGACGTGCCCATAACATCCAAAATTAATGAAAAAATATAGGATTTTTTTTCAACCTAGTCATTTGTTTGAAACAAGAGAGCATTGAGAATTAAAACAACTGACATCCTCATCTTCTTCCCTGAAAGAAGAGACCTTCACATTGCTTTGTCACTCACAAAATAGATCTATAGCCTGTTCACGTTAATTTATGCAGCACACGAAGATTCAGAAAGCAGGCAGACAATTGCAATCTATGCGTCTGAGGTTTACACCTGACAGGCACCGGTCTACTGTTTCAAAATAAAATTTCAAGTATTAGATTGAAAGGATTAATTTTTTAATCATGCCAGATTGCGTAGTGTAGTAATCCATTATCTGTGCTCAACAGTTGGGAGGTTACTTTATCCTGAATTAACCTGTACACCATTTGAATGCTCCTACCTCATCTACATTCAAGACCATCAGGCTGCAGCTCAAGCTCAGATGGCTGACCACATCACCTATGAATGCCCTTATGGCCCTCTTTCAAGCATCCCAGGTCTTACTGACATTGACCATTCCACCTGTAAATGTCTTTCTGGCCCTCATGTTTCCAACATATGAGTGTGGCGACACTTGCATCATCATTATCAAGACCATCAGGGTCTCCTGCCTTGATTTAAACAACTTCTAACTTTGCTTGTATCTCACATGATATGATCTGTTTCAGATTCCAAAATACTATATTGACAAGTCCGAGTTTCCCATCCTGCAAAAATTTGAAGGATCACTTATCTACAAACCTGTTAGTGGATTCATTAGCAGGCATCTAGTCATAAACCTGACTGTATTTCTGAGACACTTACCTAAGAGCCTTTATAACTGCTACTAAAAAATCCTTCATTCTAGGGTTGTCAATATGATTTGATCCAAGACAAAAGCCTTTTCTATCCTGTAAGTTACAAAATATTTAAAAATCTCTAAACATAAAATAATATTTAGTGACTTTGCAATCCATGTTAAACAAGCTGGAAAACATTTAACTTCCCTTGTGTTGTATTTTCACAGCAATCTAAAAATGGTTGTATCTTGTAGATAAAGATATATCTTTTCTGCTTTCATGTATTTTAATGAACAGCAGAGTGATCATTTACATGAAGGGAAATCAGTGCTAAAGATGTTATACATATAAGAAATCTGCTTGTACTCTCTGCAGATCTCATAAAACTTTGTGTATCTCTGGCATGAAACCCATAATGCATATTATTGCAAGATAACATATATCTTTCCATGAATTCAGTTCTAGAAAGTGAGCTTGTATCCAAGTTTCTCATGTTATTCTCTGGCTGCAGCTACATGTACACTTTACTGCAGTGGGCTAATTAGCTGTGCAGTAAAGTATCACTATCTACATGTGTGCCTGTATTATGGTGCAGTAACTACTTACTTTGCGGAGTAACTGTGCTGAAACACGGGTAAACGGTGACAAGAGCTGGCTGGGGAATGAGGGTACTAAAGTGTGGGGGCTGCCTTCTGCCTAAGCACACAGCTCTGCACTTTAGCACTCTCATGGCCCAGCCAGCCCCTCCACTGCCCAACTCTGCTACCTAGAGCCTGGGGCTGACCCCCCATAGCCCCTGCCAGCTGGGAGCTGCTCCGCCCCCACTCCAATTGCTGCTGTCCTAGCTGCATGTGTAGATGCTGCTCCCAGGAGCAGTTTCCTCTGGCACAAACTGCTCCAGAGTTTATCACATCGCATTAATTACATGTGTAGATGCACACTCTGTTGACTAATTTTCACCCTTTAATCCTCCAAAATCAAATAAGGTACTTTCTGATGGGTTACAGGCATTTTTCATATTTTGTACAAATTAACTCACTATGTGTATGTAGTTTAAAATAGTACATTAATCAAGAATGTGTCAGTTTAACTAGCTTAGGCAAAAGTTTGTTTTACAACCTTGTGCAATTGCAAAATGTTACAGATCAATTTCATCTTAAACTCAAACCAAACAGCAGTTTTGCAACTATACAAAGTAAGCAAATTATAGTTAGTTACCACACAGCCTGCTCTGGCTTGGTTGCAATTTAAACAGTTCCTTGCCTCTGAAGTAATCCGGACACCAAAGAAAGATGAAAGTGATCTGGTCACCAAAGAAAGTGCTCCTCCAGGTGCCGGCCAGAACAGCCAAGGCAAAGATGGCTAGATGATGTAGCATCAGACCTATAGAAATTAAGTGTGGATGACTGAAGGATGAAGGCACACAATAGATAGGAATGGAGGAAGATAGTGGAGGCAGTCAAGGGTCTCTAGGGCTTATAGCCTGAGTGTAGCTGAAAACACCATACCCAATCTTTTCTTCCATCCTATTTATTATGCATTTTTCACCATCAAAGCAAGGCCAAACAACAATTTAAAGTTAAGATTTAGCCTCAGGTGTGCTCAAGGTTGTCTTTTTTCCCCAGATGTTATTTGAGTGGCTGATATTAGCCATCCCTTCCACTCAGCCCTGACTAGCAGTTCAGTTATGTAGCTTCCTTTGTTCTAGCTCAGTTCCCATTTTTGTGTTTCCACTGAGCCCTCATAATTACTCACCTCTCTGCAGTACAATTCAGTGCAGCTGCCTGCAATCAATCAGTGTGTCTCCATGCTACTCTGATGTCTGGTCTGCAGGGCATGAGACCCTGCATTACTTCTATTTTTGGTTCCAGGCTTCTGGGCAATAGGATTTTTGCTATTCAGAACAGGACATGTTAGTTGATCAGACAAACTGCTGCCACCACTAATAAATCTCTACAGAAGCTGTTGATTATCATTTTAAGCCTGTAGGAGGAGGCTGGTGAGTGAGCTCTGACAAAAGACCAGTAGGAGGCTCCAGGGGTTTTGAGACCTCTTTCAGGGGGAACATCTAGGCTAGGGACAGACATTACACATGAATCTGTTTAAGTGATCAGAAACTGGTTTAAACCTGTAACAACAGATGTTCAGTGCACATAAACCAGTTTGAAAATGGCTAAAAATGATTTGAAATAAACCTGGTTGAATGTAGTATCAGACTTAACTGATTTGGGTCAAACCGGCTTATGCAATGTCTGTCCCAGACCCCTTGCTGGTTTAAGTTAGAGCAGACTCCCCCATCATCCTGGCATGCTCTCTGGGCTTGCAGGGCTCTCTGCTCCACAGCAGAGCTGGCCCCTCCCTTCTGCTCCCTGGCTGGAGCTTGGCAGAGACTGCAGGCATCAGCCTGGTTTCCCCCTGCTCCCTCCCTCCCCTCCCGACTCCGTGCTAAGTAGGGATTGCCCCATCCCCTCAGCCTTACACAGACACCTCTCAGGATTAGCTAGCAGGCTACATGCTGGCTATGGTCCGTGCTGTGGCAGATGGGACAAAGGCAGAATCAACAGGTAGCTGGGAATGTTCTTCTGTATTCTTAATGGGGTGATGAACACTGTTATCAATTCCCTGCTGGGCTGGTCAGAAGGTTGCAGGGAACCCCTCCCTAATCAGAGTGCCTTGGCAGGGCCTGGCTACCCCCTCTCCCACCTCAGTTTAGCACTATGGAAGGGAAGGGAGGGCTGCTCTAGTGCCCCCGGCTTCTAGCCTGAGCCACTGTAGGCATATGCCTGCATTTCTGGGATGCCTGTACAGTTACAAACTGATTCAGCCTAGGCAAGTTAAACTAACCTGCAAAGATTGAATCAATTCAGGATCAGTCTTTTTGAATGTCTGTCCCTAGCCCTAAGGAGTGAGATGGTTTTGTGGGCCACCTTCCTGGTCTCAATTCCATTTGTTTTTCCAAACCCTCCCATGGAAAGAAATAGTACTTGACAAGTGTATAACAACATTAAAGCCAAAGGACAATGCTTCCCAAAGCTTGTCCCGTTTATCAGAAATTTTTGTTTTGCCTGCTCTTCAGCTCCTTGACTTTGCTCTGTCTAGTGAGGTAATTTATTGGGCTGTCGTCATGTTCTCTGGCTGCTGCAAGTCCTTTCCTTCAGTCTCTTATTGATTTAGCTGGAATTGCTACTTCTTTGGTTGCAAAACTAATGAAGAACGTGGACACCTATTGAGGCAGCTCTCCTCTAGGTATTTACCTGGGTACCATCATCATCATAACTCAGCAGCAACTCATAAACTCCAGTGTATGGAGAAACTGTATTACTGTCCCAAGTTCAAAGAGGCTATCTGTGGCATAGAGTATTTCTCTGTCATAGCAGAAACTGAATGCTATGCAACTGAATGCAACACCAGCCATAGCCACTGGACCTTATTTCTTTTCAGGTGTAAAGAGGGAGGTGAAATGGGATGAGCACGATATAATCAAGGTGGCTTCTGTGAGCTACATGTTGAGAACTATGATATTTCTATTTACTGATTTCAGATATTTCAAATAGCAAAAGAAAGCCCTTAAGCAGAGCACACAGCAACAACTCCTGGAAGAGTAGAATGAGTAGAAAAATGAGTAGAAGAATTATAAGAATTGTTTATTTTGAAATGTGAACTAGTGGTAAGTTAGAATGAATAAATATGTAATACTGTATTAAGTATGAAACCTTAACACTATGGCTAACAGAATTAGAAAATGGTTACCTTTCAATAAAATTCTTTTCTAATGCAATTTAAAAGGTTTGTACAGTCAAGGGATGATTGTCACCAATGGACTTGTGGCTTTTTGCATGGAATATATAAAAAAACAGGTGCTGTTTTGTTTTATAAATGGTTACAAAGAAAAATGAGATATATGATTTTTGCCTCCTGATAACATACATTTGTAATTGAAGCAACATGATTTTAAAAGCTTTGTACTGTATAATAGCATATCTCAGGAGTGCTCTGAAGTACAAGACACAGCAGAGTGCCTTCAGAGAAATTGTGGCAGAAGGAGTAATGCACTTATTAATAAAAGATGAGCTCTGTATCAGATGTAGATAAATCTTATGAAAAGTAAAGCCAGGAAAACTAGAGAGCAACAGTAGTTAGTCTTCAAGTTACATAGATAAACTGGAACAACATTGTGATCCAGATCTGAATGTCACCCCAAATTTGAAATTATTCTAGTAGATTTAAGGGAAATTGGTTCAGTTCACTAGAGAGCCTAAGATCTAAGTTTCCTCAATGTTTAGGGGATTCTAATCTGGAATCTTGGTACAAGTTCATTCTTCAAAACACGCAATATTTAAATATATATAAATGGGATCAGAAAGTTCTACTATGCCTTGGGAAAATTACAGTAAAAATGATAAGCATGACATTATCACAAGTATAGAAAGCCTTTAAAAACTGTGTATTACTGATGGATTCAGCAGATGCAGGACACATTATTACAATGGATCTTTTGGGTGATGGGTTAGCTATTGGACATCAATTCTTTAAATAAATCAGTACATATAATAATGCCCGTTTAGTAGTAGACTCTTCCATATTATTGAAGCACATTTTTTACTTCTTGACATTAATGAGGTTCTGAGGTTAAAGAGGTTATTACTTTAGTTTTTCCTTGAAAAAAATGTTATTTTGACACAGCTTTTGAAAATACAACTTATTCTTGTAAAATGAAACTTTATTCTAAAATGTATCCAAAATTGCAAGACACAAGCACCATTAAACAGATAAATAGACATATATTTATGTACAGAGAGCATCAAAACACAAAACAATTGTTAATATAATTCTTATACCATTTTAATGAGTTTCCATCAATAAAACTTTACAATTTAAAGAAGACTTCTCAGTTGCAAAACAGTTGTAAAATCATATGTATAAATTATGTTTACTACAATTCCAATAACAGAGGCAAAGTAAATACAAAAATAATCAATACTGCAAATTCAAATACAAAACCCAAAATAATGCTGCACAGGTATGTATGTACACGTGATGAATTCATGCAGCTATGCAGTGCACCAAATTAACTGCTTAGTTTAACGTATCACAAAATGGAACAACCATGTCTGCAAGCAGAAGAAAATATATTTTTTATAATAAATCATAGTGCATTTTGAAGTTAAACTTTATAAAATGATTGCTGAGTGATATATTTCTAAAATTCCTCATGTGGTCTGACATTCCCCAAGCTCCTCTCTCCCAAAATAAAATATAAATGACAAAAGTTTAAAAACCCAAACACTGGAGGATAGATTCTGTTGTCAAATCTTTACATAACTCTTACCATCTTGGTTTGTAGTCTTGGTATCAAAACTATTTGCGCGTATGCATTTCCCTACTGGCATGTGTTACACCTTTTTACCAAAGTGAATCTTCCACTTTCTAATGCTATGTTCCATCAGCCCAGTCTAACAGTTCTTAGACTGTTCTGTGTTAAAAAGATACAGCTATAACTTAAGAAAATGAAAAACAAACAAACCCAAAAAACACTGACCTCCCACAAATGAGAGAGAGAGAAAAAAAAAAAGAGTCAAATGGTGGATAGAGTTACTCCTTCACACCTGGAGTTTCTGTCCCTAATTGCTTTGATTACACAAACACAAATAAAATGAATGGCTTCTATGGCTTGGATGAAGTTTCTGATAATAAGTTGGGCAGGTGTAAAACCTGTATTTGCCAGCAGAGGTTGCCTTTCACAGTGCAGAAGGCTGTAGATCATTTTGGTTGGTAAAGGAAGTCAAGCATCACATACTTTTAAAAATATTTTCACAGTCACATTTTAAAGGTATCTGCAATGCTAAAGCAGACTGTTCAGATTTCAGTTTTTGCTCTTAGTTGGTATATCATAATCAGAGCATGTAGTTACTATTGAGATTCAGGCCTCATCAAATATTAGTGGTTAAGTGTCAAAATTAGATGAGATGCAATTATATAGTCTGACACTCATGTCTCAGAAACTTGTTTAAGTGCTAAGCACGCTCAGTGTTTTCACTAGAAAGAAGTCAGTAAATGCTACATTTATGATTGCTGAAAAGACACAGAGCAGCCTACACTTCTGCTAAACAGCTGCTCCTGCATTCACGGTGTTCCCAAAATTCCTACTCAGGTCAGTATTAAGTTTTAAGTCACTGGAGTTTTGTGAGAACAAGGGATGCAGAATGGAGTGTGTTGAGAAAACAGAATTTTAATTTCTCTATAAGAAGTCATATGGATGGGTAATAGAAAAGCTAATGCCTGCATGATGTCTTTTTGCTTTATGATCCTGTGAAAAAAAATATGGCATCTGAAATGAGAAATGTTAGCTCTGACTAATCCAGTGAGCCCCAAATGTTCGTTATGTCAGATGTTACTATATTAAATACAGCATATCTTTGATATAATAGAATAATCAAAGAAAGGGGAAGAAGTTTGCCTACTCAAAGATACATATATTAAAGGCACAGGAAATGTAGAAGGTATGGTACAAGCTTACATTTAATGTAAATTATAAATCTTTTTTTGCTACATATGGAAGATCTTTTTTATGCCCAAACTTTCTCAAGTTCTTATAATGCTGAAATAATAATAATAAAAATACATACAGGTAAGTTTAAAATTAAACACGGAAAATAAATGATTGCTAAATAATGTAATTTAGTAATTGCTACATTTCTATGCACCTTGACAGGTTGGCTGTGTCATCTTCTATGTCTATAGAATGTCAAAATGCTTTAGTAAGCACAAGGGAAGAATGTGGAATAACCAAGGCAGCTAGAAGTATATCAACTGATAGACAGAATGGATCCTGCTACTCTGATGCATCTGAAAATTAGTTAATTAACTGTTACCACTGTAACCTTTCCCATCACGAACTTGGGCCATTTCCTCTTTTCTCCAAAAATCACTGAAATTCAGAAATAGCAAGAGAAATATTCTCATTCTCATGTGAGTGTAATATTAAAATTAAGATGATTCTGGAACAGCATTTTTTGCTGGAGTTCAGTACTTGAAATATCTAACTGGTAAGCAGGGAGTATATTAGCACATAATAAATAGCTATTTCCAACTCTTCATTCATTGCTAGACAATACGCACAATCATTTTCAATACAGAATGGCTTGCAATTCAGAAAACAAAGTGAACATATCAATACAGCTGCTCTTAGACTTATGAAATAAAATGAAATCTACTCCTGCATGATGAAGTGATAAGCCAAGTTCAGAAGCAGACTGCATCTCAAGGCCCTGGCTGTGAGAGGTTGGGTGCATTAGGAAGCTGACAGTATGAATGATAAGCTTCACTTATTTTCAACCTCTGCTCTTCATCAACTTGTTACAGAGGGAGCTTGTGCTACAATAATTATTATAGTGCTAAAAGACAGAATAGAGAGATAGCAGTGGAACTAGAATAAGAGGAAAATCTCAAGGTTTTTGGTTTGGTGCTGGCTCTAGGGTCCAACACTGAATATGACCTGAAGACAGTCTGTCAGCCCATGCAGCGATGGCCACCAGTAGAACTAACCCATCAAAAACCTAGGACTTCCTCATCTCCAAATCCGCATGAGAAAAAAGTATATAACAAATACTGTGAAAAATACTAACTGCCATTACTACTTGTGTTCTCAAAATCCTAAGTGATGAGCAGCTAAACCACTGCGCTTTAATGAAACAGCCCACTTTTTTCCCTTCTGTCAAGACTTATTTCTGAGAAATGTGGACATCTTACTATAAAAAATTAATTTAAAACAAGGATACACATTAACTTCTTAGATACAATGACCAGATTAGTCTGAACTTAAACAGCAACAAATGTAATCGGCTTATTGGTACATAGCATAATGGTACCTCCATATGCCATTTAAGATGAATAAAACTTTTGCAGTCAAAGATCATTAATAGAAATACATACTTAAACTAATATTGGCATTCTTAAAAAGAGGGTAATGGCTTCCAGAAATATTCAAATAAAAATTATTAAGAAAGCGTGATATAAGACAGTATGGTAGTCAGGTTACTAGATGCCAGATTGAAAATAATAGAAAATCAAATGATATTCTCGCAAATTCCTACTCCTCAGAGTTTTGCTATGAGGTAAAATTTCCCCCCACACTTGTATAAAGCCACAAAACTGTGTTTTGTATGTCTGTATAGGAACCAAAACCTGGATGGATACTCTGAAATGCCCATGGAATTAATCCAGGATTACTATTATAAACTACTGGCATAATAGCGTCCCTTGTTCTCTGACGGCGTTTCTACACAAGCTCCAGGAGGGTGGGGGATGGCGCTTTAATTAAAGTGGCTCTGAGAGCCACTCCAAGTAAAGTGCCTGGAGCGTCTCGTGTACCTGTGTTCCCATGCTTCATAATGGCAGCAGGGGCGTTTTATCTAAGGTTCGTAGAATGAGCTTTAGATAAAGCATGCATGCCACCATTTTGAAGTGTGTGAATGCTGATACATGAAACGCTGGAGGCTGCTGGAGCGCGGTAATTACCACACTTCAGCAGATTCAATTAATAGAGTCTGCTCCGACGTGCTGGAATTAGTGTGTCAGAGCAGCCTTGCTGCTCATGTATAGGCGCCCTGGGATGTCTCCCCAGATGTGCATTGTGGTCAGTTGACCCATACAGTTCATGGACCTGTTGGCCACATCTCTGCCCCTTTTCTAACTTGCCACAATTTTTCCAGAGGGTAAAACTTGGCTTTACCTAAGTCATGAAAATGTCCCCTCATTGACCTCTCCATAGGGAGGCTTCCCTCCATATGAGGGATTCACAGTGTTTATGCTATGTTCTGGGCTTTCTTAGACACCTGATGACAGGTCTTTCTCAATATATAAATGCATCATCACAGTCATAATAAGGTTGCAGCTTTCTGAGATAATACCAAAACTCTCAGCACTTGAAGTAGCTGGTAAAGAGCTGAGGAATGTTTCACAAACAAGTTTTAAGGGAGGAGAATTCTTACACAGAAGATGTGTTTTCTAAAGCATTCTGCCCAGATTCAAACATAGATGTATTCTGGAAACAACCCTTTTGCAGAGTTGCAGGTAGGAAAGTAAATGACTAAGTCTCTCTCATTGAAGCAATCAATGTCAGACAGCTTGTTGCTCTTTGGTCAACACAGGTGGCCTCCAGAAATGATTTAAGAAGCTGCTTTTAAAAGACAACCACAAATGAGGTTGGGAGAGATCTGCACCACAACAATTTTCTATTCTAAAACAAGGTTCTCTAGTCTGCATGATATTTATAAGACTTGTGTCTGAAAGTTTTGGACTTTCAAGTTTTTCAACTGAGTTAGTGTGAAATTGATTCTTTGTAGAAGCAATCACCTACTCGAACAAGTACTGAGAACTGGGGTAGGTTGTCTAGGGACAGTGAATTTATGGAGAGTCCAGATGTTAGCAATTTTGATTTTATATTCACTTGAACGTATTTGTTCAGAGTTGTTTGGAATTAGGATTGTGCTTTCTGAATTTTCTTCATTATTTTCTCAAATTACATTCCTGCTTATTTTGAACATTACACTAGGATTTTACTTTCTTTTTAAAATTAGGTTTAAATATTGTGTTCACTCTCAATTTTGGGAAGCCATTCTCTCTCAGTGATGCCCCTAATTGTTTAATGGGAACTGCAAGGATTTTTTTTTTGTTTTGAAAAATTGGGCTTGTACTCTTTTTGCCCTGATTATGGGGGAGGAAGAATGTCTGAAAGGATTTTATTAAAGGTTTTTGTTTTTTTTTAACCTTAGAAATATCAGGACTTTATCCTTGGTTTCATCTGGAGAGCCAGTAGGAAATATAAAGGATGTTTATTCTGAGCTCCTAACATCTTAAATGAAAGATGAAGGTGCAATATATTTAACAAAAGCTCCTTTTACTCAAAATGCTAATTAGTCATTTAAGTTAAATAGCTGTTAATTAACACAAATAAAAACAGAGTTTTAAATGATCTGAGTAACAATCCCTTTTCCTCTTAATGGCTCAGTTTTCTTGGCTCATGCCATCAGCTTTTTTACTAGTTCTCCAGTCATAAAGTATTCCTCCCTCGACAGGATTTAATTTCCAAGCACGAGTACAAACTTTCACCATTTCAGGTCTTGATTATACTCTGTAAAGTAGCAAAAATAAGGGGAAAGCTTGGGTGGGTTCGGGGGGGAGGCAGGTCAAGGAGGTTGTTTGTTTGCTTCAAATCCACCTGAATAAGTCTTATTTAAGTCGATATTCTCTTCATAGATGAGGGATAGAAGCCCTGCTCCGGTGCAGGGGATATGTACAGAGCATGCAGGAGAAAACACCAGCTCCATATGGCATTCTTTCCATATGGCAAGAAATCTTGCAGGCTAGAACAATGGCTATGAGGTACGGTATTGCAGTCCTGTAGCCTGCCTTAGGTGGGCAAGCAGTGGTGAAGGACATTTCATCCTCAAGGAGGTCCTTCACACCGTCTGACTGTACTCAGTCTTTGTGTTATGGGGGAGGGGGCATGTTTCTCCTAAACTAGACAGTGTACACAGATGCATATCCCGCATGAAAACCTGTTAAAACTGCAGCTAGCCCTTGCTTGCTAAAGTCTAACTTCACACTCTAAAAGACACCAACCGTGGTGAATTTTTCTGTATTACATTTGATTTCATGTTCCTGTTAATAGCTGATACATGCATGGTGTGCACTACATTCTGAAACCAATGAGCGTGCTTAACAAGGCTTTAACCGTATGTGAACAGCAAGTTTTGATGACAGGACAAGTACTACTGTACTATATAATACACATGGCTGTACAATCAAAAGCCACCTCTTGCTTTAAAACAATTTACAGTATTAAGCAATGGTGACAAGGTTTCTTACACAAAACCTACAATAATTTACAGAATATGCACGATTACTGATGTTCAAATGCCAACATTAAAAAATGCATTTCCTACCCAGAGTGTCTTGTGCAATGTAAGCTGATAATAGTTTATTACACTAAGTAACTTGAATAGACCTTATGCACTAGGCATCAAGTTCTCTTCCCCCACATCAGAAGCAGATGTTGCCAGATGCTTGAAAGGGCAATCTGTATAAAGTTTTTCTTTTTTTAAAAAAGACAGACCTGCACAAAGTAGACACATCACAATGGGTTGGTTTTTTTTGCAAGGAGATACTTGCCACAAAAAGGAGACAAATCAAAGCTGGTCTTTGCACATTTCAAGCACTGTGATTTTCATTTCTTTAATTGCCACTAGGAGTTTATTGAAGTTTCTTGCAAGGATTCTCCTTTCTGTCCTGAAACAAAAATCTTATGAGAATTTTTTTTAGAAATTGCAACTCTCCCATGCCCCAAAGCTCTGACTTCCACTTTTAAATTGTTGCTTAATGTTATACTTCAGATTTTGCCTACAAAATAATTTTTGTTAAAGAAACATCTAAAACGTGGTAAACCAAAAAACCTCTGCGAGTTCTTGAGAAATGGGAATTACTTTACTAGTACTTTTAAATTTGAAGTTTCTTAGCAATATTGTTTAAAAGTCTAATTTCAAAAAATATCACTTTTAGTTTCCTGTAAACATTATAACATTATAAATATTTATGCATTCTCCCTATTAGACTAGTTTTCTGGAGGGAAGGGTACTCAAACTTGTCCATCCTTCATTTATAAAAGAGGTGGGGCCTGTGGAGATTACAGGTCCCAATAAGCAATGCTGTATCTTGATCAAGAGAGGGACCTCTGATTTACATTAGTAGTGTCCCACTGGGATCTGTAAGCAATTTAGGTTGTATCTCTGTATTAAAGAAGTAGCCATTTACAGAATTTTGTCCATCAGCACTGTTGATGTCTGTTAAGTAGCTTATGACTGATAATGTGCACTTCTTGAATCATGTGCATTATGAGGACAATTTTCATAAAAAGCATTGTATAATTATATTTCAATTGAATGCCTGTTGTTTAGAATTGCTTTCCTCCCCAGTTTGTATGGCAAACTGCAATTTTTATTTCAGGCCATTTACAAAAATAGAAAAATAGTCTCTTGTCTGATCTGGAACCCGATCCTGCGAGATGCTAATTGCCCTGATCTGCAGAGCTGAGGACTATGAGCAGCTTCCAGGATCTTGCCCTTAAATGACACGATGGTTCTTACACACACAAAACAAGTTTAATGCGACATTTCTGACAGATGAAATAATTTATTTACAGTTAGGGCTCTATTCACAAATGCAAACAACATTTTGCATGGATTTTGTGTAAATTGTTCTTGCAGCACAGTTTGCAGCTGGCCTGTTGTAAATAGTTGGAAAGTGTAAGCTTAATGAGAGGAGAAAAAAAAGGAACAAGATTAGCCACCAGGAAGATCCAATTTGTAGGGCTAATCATTTTATCATATTTGGTGCAAACACTGTTTTGACAGAAAAGTAACTTAGCATATCCTTCTGTGCTGGGGCAGTGTAATTATTGGTGGGTGGCCCAAAAAATTAAATCCAACTTTTCATTTATTTTCAGTTCTCTTATGTTCCATTTACTGAAAAAGTGCAAAACTTGTTCAAATCACCCATGTTTTCTCCTGATGTTCCTCAGGCTACTGCCGCTACAATTTTGGTGCTACTAAAATGGAACTGAACATTCTCTTTTGCGCATACAAAAATCTGGAGGAAGCTCCCAGATCCATGTAACCTTACAGTGAGTAATGATAAATATAAGAGAATAAGGTAGCATGAGAATACCTGGAGTTCAGTGGATACCTCTTCCACTACTTACCAAGTTCTGTGAACATGCCAGGGTGTCCAATTTGTATCTTTCAGTTTTGCTTGCTTTAAAGACACAAACTTACAGAGCTAACTGGCTGCACCAGGCCATCTATTGTACATAATTATAAAATAAATATAGTATGCATATGAAATTCATATATTTGTGTATAGAGCCCTTATAACTTCCTATAAGTTTGATAACAGGAATCTTATTTTTGAAGGTTAGGTACTGTTTAGCATAAAATCCAACTTCCTTATTCATAATGATAATGGAGTAAATCTTGTTTTGAGCTGGTTTCTCATCCAGCAAGTATTTCTTATGCTGAATCCAAATGAAACAATGCAATTTGTTTTCTCAACCTCTTTTGCACACAGAAATTAAATAGTGGCCAAAAACTGAAAGTTTCAGGTTACAAATGAAAACTGTATTTTTATTAAATGTAAAAACATGTACCCAGGAAAGGACAAACACCTTTATACATTTTTATGGAAAGTTTTTCCTTTTCATGAGAGGCTTCCTTACATATTTTAAACTTAAATTATGAACAGTGACCAAATATGAGTTTGGATATATAGTGCAAGGCTTTTAGTTGTTTTAATGGAGGTGAATAAACAATTTGAAACAACGTGAGAGGGCAAGTTCACAGAAATGTTTTAGGTAGCACTGGATAGTTGTCTAATAAATTAAGAAACAGAAGAAAGCCAACTCCTATTCCAGACATCAACGATGTTAATGCATAAGTACACCTGGGGATTGCTAAAATTTCAGAGAAGACTCAATAATTAATATTTCAGGCTCTTGCAAATACATACACATGCATTTGAGTAGTCCCATTGTCTTCAATTAGACTGTTCAGGTGCTTAAAATTAAGCACTCACATGCTTTAAATAAAAAAAAATTGTGCAAGTGTTCGTAGGATCAGGGTTTTTAACAAGTCTCTGAGTGGATGGTCCTTTGGTGAATTCTAAATTTATTACTGTCACTTAAGATATAAAGATTATGAAACCGAAAATGAATGAATGCATGCACTCAAGCAATGCTTGGCGGATATGAAGAGCTCATCCGATTCTCCCTTTTTCTTTCAGCTTGAAACGTCATTTGGTTGATTGTAACATGCCCTTTCAATCTGCTGTGTGTACATCAAGGGTAGGCACCTGCTGAATAAGATCATATGTTAAATAAACGTTGGAGGTGCAGTTCGGGGTGCAATCCAGCAAACCTTTAGCTCTCACATTTATGTAAGATATATGAGTTATGTAATTATATGAGTTACGTGAGACTATTATTGTGTCAGTGAGACAACTTTCATGAGCAGGGGCCTGCAAGCCCAGGCCAATATTGTCGGGGATGGGGAGAAGAGGAAGCTTCACACACTATTTAGAAGTAGCTTAAATTTGAGGACTGAATGGAATTTTTTATATCTTCTTTTATACCATGAAATACTGAGTTAGATCCTTGGTATGATAATTTGCTATTTTAATTGTTGCAAACATCAGCTTGAAGAGAAACTAATTGTCACTCTAGAAAAGGGAGTAAATGATTTTTTATTTGGAATATAAGTACTTCAGCAAGAATTTCATCTTTAAAACTCTCCACACAAATCCAGACTGATTTGAAATTGGAGCTGGTCTTATAAGTATTATTACTTGGAATGATTTAAAGGAAGATATAGTTACCTACACTGACAATTTCTCGATGTATTAAGTTTTACATTTGTGGTACTCTCCACTTCAAATGCATACGGCCAAATCTTGCAGTTTAGCCAACACCTTTAACAGCAACAACAGCAAATATGAAGGATGTCTAGGAATTGGAGGAATGGACTGTAATGCTTAAAAATTATTTACTGGTCAAGGACATAGAAATCAGTGCAATAGTTGAAAATTCATTTAATCAAGTAGAGAGAAAAAAGAATAAAATGTGCAACTCTGAATATTGTAACAGCTGGTCCCTCATTAAATTACCCATCTAATTTCAAGTCCTCCTTACGTACAGTATTTCATTTGCTAATCATGAGACACGGGAAAATTCAAATGTGTTTTAGCCACTTAATGAGGCTGTTATCCTTCTGATAAAGAGATTCCAGGTTGCTATCCATGCAGAAGAAACCTCCTTTCACCTCTGCCTAACTTGAATTATTCTAAATAATGATCCTACAGTATTTTGCTTTAAACCACAAAAGTGTGTGTTTGCATGTGTGGGAGGGTAGAGTGTTAGTGGATGTCTCAGGGGGCTGGCAACTGGCAATGGGATATGGTGCCCTTCTGGGCCACAGCAGAGGTTGGGTATAATTGAAAGTTGGTCATTGTGTTTCTCTGTATAATGAGCTGAGCAAGTTTTAAAATGAAAATTGGTAACTATGGCATGCAGCCAACAGAGACTGACAACTTAAAGGAGACTGAACTATTTTCTCACTTTTAAGCAGAAGTCCTTCCAGATCCAGGGTGAAGCACATTACTGGGGTGTGTGGAACTCAAAAAAATGGGTCCCAAGGGCTATTAGAGCAGCATTTTTCATGAGCTCTAAATTAATCTCAGTTCTTCCTCATAATCAGAAATTACTAGTAAAATGATTTAAATGCCTTACTTCTATATAAAAATATTAAGATACTTTAAATTGTACATTTCAGGCTACATAATATACTTGTGATTCAAGCAGCTACCTTTCTTCCTCCTTTTTTAATAAGCACAAAAGGGGCAATATTGTTTACACAAAATCTACATGTAAAATAAGATACAGATGTGAAAGTTACTTTTCACATATTCACAAAGAAAGTGAAGTTTTGGCACTACTGAAGTCAATGACAAAACTCCAAGTGACTTCTAGAGGGCCAGGATTTTTCCTGGAATTTCTATAGAGGAAGAAAATCCATTACTCCCTGATTCTTCTATTCCATATGAGATTCCACCTCTTCTATTTTAAAATATTTAATTGAAAAAAATGGTAAGAAAAATATGTCCTATTCATCACACACATAAAAAGAAAACTCTTAAAATGCACTGTTAAAATTCCCTGGCTCCAGTTGAGTTCTCATTACTCCTAGTACTGGACAAGTTCTGTCTGCTCTTATCAGCAATGCTGAGGCATAAGCATAGAAACCAAAAGCAGCTACACTACATGTAGACTTCCAGTGCATTAGAAACACAGGTAGGAAGAAAAAAAGTTAGTTCTCAAGTAATTTTTCTTGCCATGTTCATTTTTTCTTAGTATTGCAAACTCCTAACAAGGACTTTGTAAGCAAGGAAAGTATGCAAGAAAACAAGCAAACAAACAAATAACCAACCCTACAGTACTTTCAAAGCTAAAGTTGTCCTTGTATTAATTGCATATTTAGCACACACAAATAATATCCTGTGTGTTTTTATTGAAAATAAATATTGTTTTTCCAACATGCATATGCATAACTTTATTCACATGTATAATAACGGATCACCTGCAAGTTCAGTCCCTATGAAAGCAAGGGGAGAGTAGTGGTGATCATTATTAGTTATGTGTGATGAAATGTGCCATTAGAACTCAAGAGATGGGTTGGATAATGAAA